CAATATTCTGCCGCCGCCACTTTAAGTTAATATATATAGGTTATGCTAGTTACATGAAAGGACATATCTGCCCTTGGTGTTTACATCATAACTGCTAACAAATAACAAMCAATATAAAACTGAAACTAGAAATAACAGAATAGCAAAATAACCACAGCTGTGGGGCCCACATCAATGTTCTCTACAGACCTCAAGGTCCTGAAGTCCTCATGGATCATTATTCCCAGCTTATTGTACAAGAAATTCCAATTCATAATAAACAAGGCTGACACTTTATTTTAGTTAGTAAACTAATCTTCAGAAAGCATGCAGTTATCCCTTGTTTGATGTCTCAGAGCTATGCCAGATAGACATTTTAAAAACGACTGTTTTTGATTTGTTACGATTGTTTTGAAAACATGCTAGAAATTATTACTTTATGCAACTCTTAGAATTCCGAATTCTTCGCTCCACAGACACACTGAGATCCATGAAGAGTCGTGCTACAAGACAAAGTTGAATATGTCTTTTCATGGGTCTCACCTTGTCTGTATGTGAAGAATTCAGGATTATAATCATTGTTTACTAGCATTCTTTTTGTTCTAATCTATATAAAGCCACTGTATGATCTGATACAATTTGAACCCTTCTGAGATATTCCATTGGAGGTACTAGATCTGGAAAATAGAATAGCTTTCTTAAGGCAGAACCCATCAAATTTCAACAGTAGCCTTGCATGAAAATGTGCAAGTCTTCTGATGCAGGAGCTGAAGAGTCAAAATTGCAATTTTATGATATTTTTATGTATTTCTGTATTTTTGGATAATAGGCGTATTTTTGTCAATTTTGCAATTTTCTGTGGGGGTCCAATGATAGGGTTTATATTTTCTATTTATAGTTTGTGTATGTTTAAAATTTCAGAGTCATTGCATAAGTTGGATTAGAGTGAGTCTTCTTTGAATTGAAATAGGATATGACAGTTTAGTTTGAGTCCTACTAGGATTATTGAGTCTAACAGTTTGACTTCTAACACTATTATGAGTCTAACAGTTTGACTCCTAGGATTATTATGGATTATTATGAGTTTAGAGTCTATATATATGTATGGACATTTTACACAAAGGCAATGAATTATATTGAGTTTTCTTTAGCTTATGCTAGCTATGGTCATATGGTGAGTGATTCCCATTCCCTAGAGTGATTCTAGGCACCCTGTGAGTGATTCCAGGTATTTTATCTCTTCTTTCTCTTCCTATTTTCTCTCTTATTCCTTCAAGAAGCCATTACAGCCATTAACAGCCATAAAACTCTGATCAATAAGACCATTCAACATTCTCTAAGGACTAGTACTGAGCTGGTCCTACTCCTACATCATCTTCAGCGACAGCATATTATATTAATGACCTGTTTTTACATCAGGGCCTGTATTATATTAATCGCCACGGCAATGGCCTAGGATTTACACAGCCTGCCCCATATGGTTAGGATAAGTTTTTTTTTTTGAATATTAATGGTCTTTTTTTATTTGTTTATTTTCTATTTGTTCTAATTAGGGGTGGATATGAGCCAAGATGAGCTGGATATTAGACTATTTGAGCTTGGCTCATTAGAAAAGCATAAGGTTTGAGTTTGGCTTTGAGCTCAGTTCGAGCTAGAAATATTAGCTCAAATTCGAATTGACTCAAACACTCGTATATTTGAGTTCAGTTTGGCTTGAACTTGAATTTGAGCTTAGACTTAATAATTTCCCTACTTGTTTAACATTTAAAAACCACAAAAACACATCAAGATTGCCCACTGTCATTGGGTAGACCACTATATCCTTGAAAATTTTATTATTTGATTATTTTAACAACTAAAAGACAAAGCGATAAGTCTTTCAGTTCAGAAACTTAAGCCATTATCAAACAGCCCCTAAGAAGAATAACTTGCTTATTTAACATTTAAAATCATAAAATATACAAAAAATAACCTGTTCTGCTCAAAAAATATATAAGCTCAATTAGACTTGCAAGCTTTATGAGCCGAGCTTCATACTATTTGAGCTCAGCTTGAAGCTCAATTAGGACTGAACCAAATCAAGCTTTTCTTGAGCCGAGCTCGAATAGCTTGCTTTGGATCCACCCTTAGTTCTAGTTAACAGATGATGCAAGAAGAACAAAAGATGGACGTTAGTTGTGTGTGTTTCGAAGGGTGCTAATTGGGTTGTTTAGTGAGCCTTCCCTGAATGACCAAATAATCTACATGTGGAAAATTAGTTTGGAGCTCAAAAGAAATCTCTGAATACCTCTCTCTCTCCACCCTGAGTTCATATATAAATTTCAGCTCAAACATCTTACCATATGTGCAAAATAAGCCCTCTTTTGTAGGCAAGTTTTATATTAAAAAATTTTTAAATGGCTAATATTAGTTGTGAAAGCTACCAATACAAGGTACGACATACAAATGATATAAATTGTTCGATTGAACATGTGGCCAATCTAGTGGGTCCCATATCTGGTGGATGATCTATGCTGCCCACAAGGGCCCTCTACATGAGAGAAGTAGGTGGATTGTACAGAAGCTCCCTAGTTTACCTGATTTGTGAACCCTTTCTACACATACATAGATGGATCAATTTTGTCAGACTCGGACTGGAACTGACAATTGGACTGTGAAAGCTAGGAACCGGCAGCCGGTCTGGTTTTTTTGGACCCTGGTTTTCCAAATTTCTGAAAAGCCAGTAGACCCATCAAAACCTGGTGAGAACCATTGCAAACCAGTAGACCCATCAAGAAAGACTATTTATCATCCACTCTTGTACATGTGTTATAATATACCTAATATTTTATCTGATGTCATGGTTCACTGGGTTGACACAGTGGTTGGACTGTTTGACCTGTGACCCGGCAGACATTCCAATTTTGTGTCTGCTCTGAATCTTACAACATTGAGATTGATAGATATCAATTTTGAATTTTTTTCCTTTTCTTACTAATAGAAAATACATAACACTATATATTGTTTGAGCAGGAAGTAGAGAAGTTATTCAATTTCTGGGATTCCACGGAAGGTGGTGCTGTCCATCCTGCTGAATGCATGCAACAATTGCTTGAGCAGGTCCGGCATCATAAAGTCAACATTGATGGCAATGTTTGCATGGTAATGGTGACCATGTTGGTTCTTGAGGTAATTCCATTCCCTTTTTTTATTTCTATTTTATATATTCTTTTTCATTTTTTTGAGAAAAAGGTAAGTTATTGTATTCTTTCGTTAACTTCAAACTGTAATATGTACAAGTATAGCCCTGTGCAATGAGTCACTATACAAATATTCATCTAGTTATATATACTTGCCTGTCCTGTATTACAAAAACAAAGAAGCAGGCTCAAAAAAGACAGTTATGAGAGGTATTAGAAAATGACTCAGTTGTTGCCACCCATGAATGAACAGTCCCTATCACTTTCCTGATGACCACTTCTGTTGATTAGTATTTTGACTCAAACAATCTCTGGTTTCTTTCTTTCCAAGTACATTTATTTCTTTCTATTTTCTTTTTTAATTATTCTGCATAATGAGTATGATGTGTATCTTGAGTTTCTTTTATCACACTAGATTAAGCCATTTATCATTAGCTATTGTATTGCTCTAAGAGAGGAAGACCCCCCGGTTATTACAAAGACAGCCCCTTTAAAAAGAGAGAATGAAAGCATCTTTATGACCATGTAATCCAAATGATTGTTCTCTTGGAATATAGGTTCCTGATTCAGCCGTCTGTTTTTCAAAATCCAACTCAAGGAAACCAAACCTTGGTATTTGATAAATATACTGGGCTCCGCTTTTTCAGAAAGGACATATTGAAAATTGATATCACTGGGGATTGGGTTGAACCATAGCTGGAAAGTTTTTGCTGATGATAGTCTCTCTGTGTCTCTATCACATAACGTGCCCATGATTCTGAAACTGGTTTAAAACACTGAAGAATATCTCTATGGTTCTGCACTTGGTGAATAGAGAATTGAGGATCAGAGTATCATCAGTATATATTGGAGATGATAGATGATCAGCACCTCATTTTATCATTTTGAAACCTGAAATTGACCAAGATTTTCAGCTTTGCACATAACTATACTCAAGGCCTCCACTACTAAAATAATAAGAATGGAGAAGATGGATCTCCTTGCATAAGGCCTGTAGTAAGTCATTTTGAAATACTGTTAGTAAGAGCAAAAAGGAGACTAGAGAGATACAAGAACAGATACATTCTCTCCTTTCAGTCCCATGCTTCATTGATTAAAATGAGAAAATCCTAGTCAACATGATCATGTGCAGTTATACTTTTACCTGATTGTTTAATAGAAGCTATTGCTGTTTCTTCAACGATTTATTTTATATATAACTACTATTTTTATTAGTTTTAGTAATTTTTTTATTAATTATAGTTATTAGGTTTCAAATTATTTATAGATTATTAATTTTAACAATATTATCAATTAACTAAAAATGCATTAATAAACAGGTATCTAATAAAATGAAAAGAAATAATAAAACAAAATACAACATTAGAACACAAGTTCTTTGTGCAATATATCAAACCCATGTTTAAATCATAATATTATTAAAACTATCGATTAATATTTTTTGTATTTAAATTTCTTGTTTTTATTAGTGTTTATTAAGTTTGATTTTTAAGTGGAATTGAAATGTTTTTAATTAACATTTTAAGGAAACCAATGATAAATGTATTTTAATTTTTACTATGCTTTGTTAATAGTTATTATTTTTAAGTGGATTTTTAATTTAATATTTTTTAAAATATTTTTATTTTTGTTGTTTTATGTTTGATTATTTAAACCCAACCTATTTAAATTATTTGATTTATTAATATTTTACTTTATTATGTTGTATTACTATTTTCTCCCTCTCTCTTTCTTAAATGTAATAATGACATGCATCGAAATAAGAGGCCTTGGAAAACCCAAAGGTTCTCTCTCTCTCTCTCTCTCTCTCTCTCTCTGTATATATATAATAGTGTACAGTTTTATTGATCCAATTAAAATTGGCAATGATTACTTTTTTTATATTTTTAAAACAAAAGAAAATAAGAAAAGTTGCAAGAAAAGTAGAAAATATATAAATGCCTATGCTGAAAGGAGAGGGCTTATGACATGGACTGTCTTGTTATATATATATATATATATATATATATATATTTGAAAACATTTGTAAAGAAGCTAGAGAAGGATTTTTAAATATTCTGAAGTTCCAAGGTTTTTCTGTTTTTTCCCTTTTGTTTATTTTTTTTCCTTACTGTTTGTAGGGCTGGCAACAGAAGCTTGATCCAGACTACAATGTGATGCTTACATTACGGACATTACTGTTCAAAGCTGATTGGGCACAATCTCTTTTATACACAATTGAAGAACTCATGGCCCCATAAAAAGGTGCTCATTTGTTGTTGTCTTCTGAAATAATTTTGGCAAAGTGAATGCTAAAAATAAAATGATAACAAGATGTGTATCATACTATCATGATCATCCATAGAAATAACATCATCTTTTCTTTTTGATCAATACCATGCTTTAGATCTGTTTCTACATCTTTTAGCTGCTCCGTTTTTTTTGCTTCATGGTGGGTTTCTTTATGAGTATGCTATACATCTTTTTTTATTAGTTTTTCATCTGTCATTATCTAGGAAAACTATTCAAAATCTCCTTGTACTTTTTGAAACCAGCTGAAAGTTTCCTTGTTTTTCAATAATAGGCTTAGGCATCTCTTTATCTGTGTTGAGGGGAAATAGGTAATGAAAAGAAAATCCTTCCCTTTCAATTTGGATAGGAGGGTTGCTTTCGACAAACCAGCAACAGCTTCTTGCCTGGTTGGCAGATCAGGGTTTTGAGGAGGAAAGGCAAGGTGGTGTGGGCTGTGGGGATGTGCAGATTACTGCCTTTGGTAATATTTTGGTGTGTTTGGGCAAAAGGGATGCTTGGGTTTTTCCAGACCAGGGAATGTACATGGCAGGAAGTGTTAAGGAAGAAGATTAAAGGAAAGTTATGTTCTTGGTTGGGAGTTAAACGGATTGAAGGAATGCATTGTAGTAATTGTTTTTGACTAGGATAGATTATTTCTTTGTTAATACAGGTTCTCGTATATGCTGTATAGGCCCATCTACAGTCCCTTAGTGTACATGACTAAATCCTTGTACTCCTTTCATCTTGATACAATATACTTTTTTAAAAAAAAAAAAGTTTTGAAAATACTGTATGTAATAGATTCTTGAATATAACATAAAGGATCCAACTACGTCACTCTTCAAACACAAACAAGATTAGAACTCTTAGGAAAGATTCTTTTCCCCTCATGGAAAAGTGATCTTTTTCTTTGTACAATCGATCTTTGGCCTTTAACTCTACCATTATTTTTTTTTGGTATGTCAAAATCAATCTCTATTTCTTCCTTTTGTAGTTTATTAGTAAATATGTACGTGCATTTTTACATGGCAGTATCTCTAAGATAAAACTATTTATAATTCATGGACAGTTTCTGAACAGTTATAAGTGAATAGTTTTTGGATAGTTATAAGTGGACAGTTTCTAAAATGAGAGAAAGGACATATATGCCCTCTTCATGCCTATTGTATGTTTAAACAAGGGGGATAGAAAGCATCCAATGAAAATTCTAGAAAGAAGGGGCATTCTCTCTTTTATAGGTAGTATAGATTTTGTACTCCATGGTTTTTTTTCTATAATTGATACTTTTAGACCTAAGCAAGATATCCGTGTATATATCTTAATGAAAAAATTACAATAAAAAGGAATATCAATTGTTGAAGACTCTGAATACGTGATTTTTACATATCCAGGCTATCGATACTTTGATGTTTGAACCATGGGCAGAAGTTTCAACCCATTTCAAAAAGCGAGAATCAGTAATGTTCTAATATTACTAGTTGGGACCCGTACAACGCACAGGCCTTGTACATGTTAGTTGGGCGAATCAGTGATGTTTGAGTCAAACCTAAGCCGTAATTTTTGGGTTATGTCTATTTAAACCAATCCAAAATTCCAAATTGTAATTTGAACCAGTGGTAGGGTTCATCACTTCCAGCCCAATTCAGACATTTCCGTGCTTGGGCTTAGCTTTTGGTGTTTAGAACTAATCCGACATAATAAATCATTTATATATTGAATATATATTTATATATACATGTTTATTATATTATAATATATAATTTATGATACTAAAAAGGCATGGTATGGGAAGAGCTTTGACCAATTAAATTGCACCTCTGTGAATTGTGGTGAGCATCACCTGATTGGTCACTGAGTCAATGGTTCAGTGACTTTTCTGGGTGGCAGATCAATGGTTCAATTATCTAGGTCAGATGAGTCAATATTTAATATAATTAATTAAATAAAAAAATATAAAAACCATAAAATTATTAAAAAATGAAAAATATGGAAGTTTTGGAAAAGGAAATAGGGTATGGATATAATATTATATATCCATCATATTAAACAAAAATAAGTTCGATAAAAGATTTAGCCCCCATTTTGTATCACTTAGAACAAGTACTTAAAATAAGTGGTGGGATCACACAATAAATGGTTAATAAGTACTTATTCTTGTTTGAGAAACAAGCCAAGAATAAGTATTTATTTCAAAAATAAGTGCTTAAAAAATAAGAAACTCCAGTGTTGCTTATTTTAAGTACTAAAAATAAGTGTTTATTTTATTTTTGTGGGACAAAAGTGTCCCTAAACAATTTCAAAATACTGATGCTACCCCCGCGAATGGAGAAAGCCCTATTGTTTTCTCCATTCTCACAGGTAGCTTGAAGAAGCGACTGGTGGTGTTCAAGTGGGGTGACCGGTGGCTGGTTTTTCCGATTTGGAGCTCACATAGGCGGTACTTTCATAATTTCTATTGTTCTTGAACCATTTTCGGTCCGATTTGGACATGTTTTTGGGTTTTTTGATCCTCTGAAACTAGATCTGCACCATTTTTGCCTAGATGTAAGGTTGGGGCAACCAATGCACAATATACCACCAGTGAACAAGGTAGACTCATTTCTAACATGTGTTTTTATGGTTTAATAGCTTAGTATGAACCGTTTGGTGGTTTTTTATTTTCTTTTTTGCATATTTCTATGAATAATATGCCATTAACCGAAGTTTTTTGTTTATTTTTATAGGGTTCATTTATCATATTGGAAAGGCATGATATTGGAAAAACTTACAGCCAATCAACCGATATCATAAAATAGGTCACCAATCAGGTGGTGTTCACCAAATTCACGGGGCTGCTTTGATTGGCCAAGTCTCTTCGGATACCATGTCTTTCTGGTATTATAGATTTTTCCATTTGTATAATATTGTGAATGATATGCATTACACCATTTTTTTTTTTACTTTCTTGCATACTACAATGAATAATATGCAGTATCAGATTTTTATAAGAGTGGTTCTTGAAAGTAGAACTAGTCTATGAAAATTGCTTTATGAAATTATTCTTTAAAGTACTTCTGAAAACCACTTCTTGAAATTACCTGCATGTACAAATACTTATTGAAAGGAATTTCATAGACGTACTTTTTGTAAAGTACTTATGTGAACTTGCTTTTTTTAGAAGTACCTCCGTAAAATTGTTTTTTTATGAATTCATTCCATGAAAGTAATTTCATAATAGTGTTTTTGTAAATTACTTTCTAAAAGAACTTTTTGAGAGTAATTTTGTAAATTTATCTTTTTGTAGTATTTATTTTTAATTTTTCATTATTATTATTATTATTATTTTTTATTTGTTATTTATTATCATTATTTTTTATTTTTTTTGTAATAATGCCACGTGTGTACCATGTGGGCCCATGTGTGTCTTGTGGGGTAGAGTAATTATTTCAATTGAAATAATTGAATATAATATTCAATGTTTAGAAAACTAAACTGGACCGATTGGTCGGATCAGTTAAATTGTGACCCAAAGCCCTAACCAGTTTCCGTTACACCCCAAGAACTGTAATAACTAAAAAACGATGAAAATTGGCTGACCAACTGGTTTAATTAATAAATCGATGAATCGGTCCCAGTTTCATGAAACCTCTCGAGTCATAAAGTAATTGAAATTTAAAACATGCGCAATAAGATTTAAACCCATGACTTCTTTTAAGTATTTCTTAATTACCAGTAACCCACCTTTTTATTTGTGCTAATTAATGGCTTTTATTGTATATGTTACTTTATTATATACATATTTTAAAGAAAATTTAAATTAAGAGACTTAAACCCTGCTAATATGCTTTAAAAATTAAAGATCTTACCATCCATACGCCATATTTAAATATAATAAAAGTTGTAAAATATATTATATATAATATTATAGGACTTGTAGTATTTATATTTATATGCCACATCATCACGTTTCGACCTTTGGTTTAACCCCAGTTGAACCTTTCACCCATGAACCTTTCCCTTTTTTGTTTCTATGTCCACTTTGGTTGTTTGAATATAGATAATATTTAAAAACCAACATTTATATGCATTCGTGAAGTAGGGGCTAAAAAATGTTATTTTCGCAAAATTAAATACTTATTGGTGAAGTGGCTTACCAAACATCCTGACCTCAATAGGTACTTAAAATAAGTATAAATGGTTTGAAAAAGGAGCCACCAAACAGCTATAAGCACTAAAAAATAAGTATTTATTTTTCATACCACTTATTTGCCAAACATAGTCTTAAACCTCCTTTCTTTCTTTCTTTCTTTTTTTTTTTAATTTAAGGTACTATTTGATTGCACTTTTTAAAGGTCTGAAATCTAAAAAATACTACTTTTCAGACCTCACCCCTTGTTTGATTGTACCTCTTAAATTGAGTCTGAAATTGATTTTCAGATCTGAAAATCATAAACCTTGGGTCGGCTCTTAACGCACTCAGATGCGTTTTAGAGCAGGCCCAATGTCCAAAATATCCTTACAATTTTTTTGTAAATGACCCGAGTTACCCCTGATACCCCCAAACCCAGAAAACCTAAACATTCAACCTCTCTTTCTCTTTGGCTCTCTTTCTCTCGGTCTCTCTCTCTCTCCACCTTGTCTTCCTGCCACCATTGTAGCAGCGACTCTCTCTCTCCCCTATCTTCTCTCTCTTGCTTTCTCTCTCTCTCTCTCTCTCTCTCTTTGCCTTGTCTTCCTGCCACCGCCACTACAACTTGCAGAGGTGGCTCTCTCTCCCCCTGTCTTCTCTCGCTCTCTCTCTCTTTGCCCTGTATTCCTGCCACCGCTGCTGCAACTTGCAGTGGTGGCTCTCTCTCTCCCCTGTCTTCTCTCTCTCTCTCTCTCTCTCTCTCTCCCCTGTATTCCTACCACCGTTGCTGCAACTTGCAGCGGTGGCTCTCTCTCTCCCCTGTCTTCTCTCTCTCTCTCCCTCCCCTGTCTTCCCACCACTGCCACTGCCACCGCCACCGCCACTATCTTCTCTCTCTCTCCCCCCAGTGGCGACTCTCTCTCTCTCTCTCTCCCCTATCTTCTCTCTCTCACTCTCTCCCCTATCTTCTCTCTCTCACTCTCTCCCCTTGTCTTCTCTCTCTCTCTCTCTCTCCCTCCCTCCCCTGTCTTCTCACCACTGCCACCGCCGTTGTCTTCTCTCTATCCACCAAGTGGCGTCTCTCTCTCTCTCTCTCCCCTGTCTTCTCTCTCTCGCTCTTTCCCCCTATCTTCTCTCTCTCACTCTCTCCCCCCGTCTTCTCTCTCTCCCACTCTCTCTCCCTCCCTGTCTTCCCACCACCGCCATCGCCATTGCAACAAGCAGTAATGGTGGTTCGGTACTTCGGTAAATAATAAAAATGCTTTTATTAATTATTAATTGTAAATTATTTTAATATTTTTATCAAACATTAATTATTTTTTTATTAAATTTATTTGTGTTATTTATTAATTATTAATTATTTTTATTAACTAGTAATTTTTAATTATTTCATTAATTTTTAAAAATTATTTAAATTTTTGTGTAAATTATTAATTATTTTAATATTTTTATAATCATTAATTATTTTTTTTAATTTTAATTGTTTCATTT